AACTTAGCGAGGCCCTGTCTCAAAAACAAAAAGGGCTGGTGGTGTACCTTAGTGGTAAAGTGCCCCTGGGTTCAATCCACATGACAGGGAAAAAATAAAAGCCCCCAATCTAGAAATGAGCCAAAAGTCTACAGGTAGGATGACTGCTGAACTCGCACACTGTACAGGGAGCACTGCAGGCAACGCAAAGTAAGACTGCGGCTGGATCCCACAGACTCGAAGGCAAAGCTGCTGTGTGGTGATGGAGCTCAGGACTGGCTGCCTTGGGGGTGAGGATGCCAATACTTAGGAGAAGCAGGGCGGGCCTCCAGGACTCCTTTACCTGGACCTGAGTGGCAGCCGCACGGGGCACCCATGCAGAAGTCCCTGCCAGGCACGCGTCTCACACCCTGGCAAGGCTGGCAGGTGCGGCTCTCCTGTGAGCTCATCCCACCCCACTAGAAGCACAGGCCGGCTCATAAACAAGCCGTTCTCGGGGACACACTGGCTCACTGCTGGCAGGAGGACAGCAGGCACGATTCCGAAGGCTCCTCCACAGCAGACACTCAAAGCCTAACCACGTGCAAACCCTTGCCTCGAAACCTTATGGGCATCGCATGGAAGGGCGGGCAGCAGGTGTGTCAGGGCAAGGCTTCAAGTGCAGCACACGGCACGAGCTCCAGGGCCAGGGCCAGGGCCAGGGCCAGGGCCAGGCACAGGTCGGGGCAGCACAGCCCACCAGGGCAGTGCTGCAGCGAGGGCTACGCCACCGCCGCCCATGGCTATCCTGGGTAATGGGAGATTGCGAGGTTTTAAATCTCTTAACCATTTTTTTTTTCTAAAAACAATAAATCAGTTGTTAATGAGAAAAAATACAATAATAGTTGAATAATAAAGGTGAATCTGAGCCGCAGAACAGAGTCAGGACTCAACTGTCCCACCTCTCGGCCTCCCCAGAGTTCCCAGCCACGCACAGCCAGGGTAATACTCCAGACCCTTCCGCCCCAACCTTTACTGACTGCACACTCCCCTCGTGGGTCAGATCTCCAGAGTGGCACCCCCACCACATGGGCCAAGGGTGATTCCATGAGTGAATGTGAAAACGGACATCTGTCTGAAAACAGTTCCAGTTCAGAATAAATAACTACAAGGCGCAGCCTGTCCTGCGCTGCCAAGCCCAGCTCTTCCCATCAGCCCCGCAACTGCTGGAATGGCACGTCTGCTTGGGTCTACCAGCCGAGATGGCAACCTCCCTGCCAGAGTCCCTGTGAAATCAGGTGTGGCAACACATGAAAGAGCAATTACAAAGGAAAAGGAGCCTCAGGTCTCCAGGTCTCCAGGCCCCATGTGCGCAGGCTCCTGAGGAAAGCACTCTCTGAGGGTCAGGGTCAGCCCCTCCCCAGTCCTGTATGGCCCACTTGGGTGTTTCCAGTGTTTCCCAGGGTTCCTCTCACAGCTCCCAAGACCCCAGGCTCCTCCACACCAGGCAGAGCTAAGGCCAGATGGGGGCACCAGGTTGGTGAGCGTGTAAGCCCCCTGGGGAGAGGGTCTCAGCTAACTCTGGCTTTCTGGGAGACTCTCCTGTTACTCAAAAAGACTTCAAACCGACAGAAAGCTCTAGAGACCAAACAATCCCAGTGTTGATTCTCAGTGCCCTGGGTCCCTCTCCAGCTTCTCAAGGTCACACCAGAGGGTTAGAGGGTTGCTAGCAGGACACAGGGACCAAAAAGACAAACCTCCCAAGAAGTTCATCCTCTCACAGAGAGGGCAAACCACACAGACCCCAGCCCAGCCTGACAAAGGACCAACAAACCAGAGACAGGAGCCCTGGAGTTGTGGGTCCTCTGCCTCCTGTATGAAACTGCCTACCAGTAGGAAGAAACAGAGGGCAGCGGCCAGCACACAGATGGGCCGGCTACACGCTCTCTCCAAGAAGGAACTCACAGCTGCACTGGGTATTTGCACAGCAGGCCGGGAGGCTAACAGCTTGAGAGGCTATTTTGGGGGGATTAGCCACAAGCCCAGTTTGGAGTGGGTCCTGTGCCCCATGCTCCAGAAAGCACTTCAGCCCCCAGGATGACCCTCCAGCCACTCAGGGGTTAAGAGCCTGGCAGGCAGCCTGCAGGCAGTGTTTATATTTAAATCATCCCAAGGGGACCCACGTGCCTCAAGCACAGCCAAAACCTGGGAGAGGTGAGAGAGAGGAGGTGGGAGGTGACCCCCACCCCAATTGCTTCAGGATGCAGAAGATGCTGGAAAACAGAAGAAAGGGCCAGGAATTGCCCTGCGCTACAGAAACACAGATCCCCTCCTCTCCCTACAGTGCACTCCCCCCACCAGGCCATATGGCTGTGCCTGCTGCAGCTCCAGACAGGATGGTCCTATGTGTACTTCCCGCTGCAAAGGGACCCTCTGCAAAGGTCTGCAGGTCATCAGAGGGCTCAGGACAGCAGTTACAGTCTCTTTCTAACAGAAGAAACCCTACTCTGCTCAAACTAGCAGAGCAAAGCACATTCACATGCAATAGTTATTTACACACCTGCACATCCACATACAAGCGTGTACACCTGTTTTCACAATGGGGTCAAGGCAGAGAATCTCAGATAAGTCTAGAATCTGTGCTTTCATCATTGGATTGCAGAGCATTTCAACCGCAAATGTTCTATTATGAAACAAGATTCCAGATCAAACTGCCATGCTCTTGCTCTCCTCCCCACCCCATTCTGCTCACCCAGGGAGACTTATTAATAGCCTGCACACCTTGGGTGAGGAGCAGGTGAGGGCTGGAGTGTCTCGGATGATGGGTGTGGATAAGACTGGAGGACTGAACCTCTCCGCTCTCAGAACATTGGGGTGCATCTTCTGGCCTCTTAATAAATGCATCCTTCTCTCTGCAAGCTACCAGACGCAAAGACTTTCTCTGGCCAACCTGTACCTCAGCATCTATTTTAAGCCCCCATAAATCACATTCCATTGTTCCAGGGAAATCTCACTTCAAGGCCTCATCCTTGTACCCTCTGCCCCTTATCCCAAATTTTCTTTAGGGAGAGAGTGTTGCAGAGAGGAAATTCTAAATTAGATCTGGATTTAGAAGACAAGCTCCCGCACAGAGCAGGAAAACAACACCGGATATAAATACCAACAGAACACGCGCCTGCCTGGGAAAGGGCTCCACTGTGACTCGCAGGTCCAGGCGCAGCCCCGTGGACATTTGCAGGAGCAGAATGTGAGCCCAACACCCAGTGACACAGGATCCTGCGCTCCAGGACCGTAATCACTGCTGCGGAAGATGACAGGGCTCTGCTTCAGAACTCCCCCATCACAGGCTACCAAGGAACATGAGATTGCTCTAGAGCCTATTTCAGCAACCGCCCTCTGGCTCTAGCAGAATCGCAATTTACATTCACAATCAGGCTCAACTCAGTGCCACTTCACTCTTTGACCTGAGACCCAAGACACATGCAGGGTTCTCCCAGGTCGGCTTACATCTCGAGCACTCCAAGATCAAAACTGACAGATGCTCATAGCATAAGACCTGCCAAGCCAGGGCCCTGGTCTGGTACAATTCATATATATATATAAATAAATAAATATATTTGTTTTATTTATTTATATTTTATTTATGTGGTGCTGAGGATTGAACTCAGTGCCTCACATGTGCCAGGCAAGTGCTCTACCACTGAGCCACAACCCCAGCCCCTGGTACAATTCTTAAAGCCAATATGGAAAACAGCTATCCAGGGCAGGAAGCCCTAAATGGCACTCTGAAATCTAGAGGGTGGTATAAAAGGGCTATTCAGAGTGAGTGGGTCTGAAAATCTCCAAACTGTTAACTACAGCCCAAATGAGCAGGCTTTAAGACTTACCCACCCCAAGCACTGCACAAGTCACTTGAACCCCCCAAGCTCAGCTGCCACTCAACATATTCAGGGACTGCAGGCTGACAGAGGCTCTGAGACCACTCCCTTCAGAGTCAGCCAGTCCAGCCAGCCCTCCCAGCCACCCAGCAAGCTGCAGCACCATGTGCAAAGCCAAGCCTGGGCTCCAGCCAGAGCCCTTGGGCCTGCCCTCCCATATGCCTGTTCCTGACAGGTTGAAACCCAGAGAGCCACTGGAGGAGAGGGTGTGTTTAGCATGCACAAGAACCTAGGTTGGATCCCTAGCACCCCCACCCCCCAAAAAAGAGGAAGCCACATGAAAAGCTGCATCAGGCACAGGACGGCCACTCCCTGGCCTTCATTACTACCCAGAGATGAACATAGTGAGAGACAACAGGGGCCTGCCAGGACAGCTGGGGAACAATACTGAGGACAGCTAGAAAGAAGGGTTTTCACCTCTCCAGGGGTCAGAGGCACTGAGCTGCTGCAAAGTAATGATATCTTAAAGCAAGCAGGCAGCAAGAAGACCCTGAGCAGCCAGCCTCAGCTGCCAGCACTCCAGCCACCTCTCCATATATCTGAGGCTTATCCACACCCCTGAAAACACCTCTGGCCATAGTCCACACACCTTAGTACTTTAATGTGGAAATCGAGCTTCCCTCCCACGTTCTTAGCAAGAAACCGGTTGGCAGGACAGGGAAGTTTCCCAGATTAACAGAAAACTAGCTCAGCCTGTGAAACGCTGTGGGTGGCCTTTTGGCTCCCAGGCTGCATCTGCGACCTGTCTCACCTCTGGCACCTGGGTCCCTCTTGCCATCAGCAAAATGACACCCCTGCTCAGCCCCAGCCATGGCAACCTTTCAGCCTCCCCTCAATAGGAAAGCTCAGCTTCACCAAGCCGAGCCCACAGGTGTGAGCAGAGGCAGATGAGGGGAAGCCCCTCTAGGACTATCACAGGCAAAGTGCAGGCGTGGCATCCACCCACCAGGAGAGCGCAGCAAGACCCTATCCCACTTTACATCCCAGCTCCTGCAACCTCCTGAAACGCACAGGTGCCGAGTGAGGCCCACACTCCTCTAGGATCCGCCCGCCCTGCCCTGCGCCGTCCGGACAGCGCCCCTGCACCCCGCGGCCACTCCTCACCGCCGGTGTCCTCAAAACGCGGAGGCGGGCGGTCCCGCAGCACTGCGCTCCAGCCGGCGCTGGCCTCGTCCTCTTCGGGCTCCTGTGAGTCGGGGAAGCCGGGCGGCGGGGCGGTCCCCGGGGGCGCGGGGCGCTCGTGCTCGTCGTCAGAGGAGGCTGCTGAGGAGGAGCGCGAAGCGGCCGAGGTGCTGTAGAAGGGGTTCCCGCCGCTGTCCGGGCCCGACTCGCCGAACACGTCGTCCGAGATGTGCAGGCTCTCATAGCGCGCGCGGGCCGCCTCCAGCAGCGCGGGTGCCCTCCTCCGCGCGCCCCCGCCGCCCTCGGCCATGGCCCCCGCCGCCCGCGCGCCCGCCCCCCAGAGCGCCTCCCAACCGCACGCGCCAGGCCCGGGGCCCGCGCCGCGGCCCGCCGCCCCCCACCAGCGCAGCCCGCAG